AAACCTAAATAGGTAGCACAACACTATAGTGTTAGTATTAGATGTACCTTTAACATAAGTGTTGTGGACAACAATATTAACCCAATCCATGTTGGTAAAATGCCTATTTACTCAACATAACTATAATCAGCATTATTCAGCTTTCTATGTGATTAACCTAAAATGGCCGCTAGGGAGTTTCCCTTTGACATCAACTAACACCCTCATTAACAAGATGGCGCTGGAATCTGGGGGAGACCTCCAAGATACCAGTGACATCACACCCGGTAGGAAGAGCACTAAATGAACCACTTAACACCTAACCAATTATTGATGTATTATCCCATGTTATCTCTGACAATGCATATGATGTAATTTTGCTTTATAAGGGACATGCCGTCCCCCCAGAATAAACATTCCTCAAGTTTTTCATTAACCCAAAACCTGTGTCTGGTGTGAATTACTTTAGGAGTGTGCAAGCATTACTTCTTTGATTTGGCCGGGGGCAGATACGCAAGATAATAAATTTATTGATTGATTCCACATCAATAAGCACTGGTTGAGAATGTGATATAAGCTTCATAAAGTGCAGGGGGTTTGGGAGGGGGGCGGGTTTCAGTTGTGTTGATGCCCCTAATGTCAAGAGAACTTTGAATCTTCTGTTATAATATACCATTTGATGTTTTGTTTTTTTAATATAAGTATATTTAATTATTATTATTTTTTTCCAAGAAAATCACTTGCCTACCTTTCTAACTCCCCCTATTTAAACATTTTACAGCCATTCATTGATTTTCAAAATCATGTTCCTCTGTTTATTTCTGATAGATTTCAGACATATTATTTTGAAAAACAATGGATAGTGTCAAAATAGTGAGCTTTGGGTCAAATAACTAACAATCTGGCAAGGATGCATAAAGAAGGCTGACAGAAAGGGAAAGTAGCAAGGGTTGGTAAGTGATTCAATACACATGGAAAAAAATATGATAATATTAGAACAGATTATATTAAAGGGAAACTCCACTACTGAATAAAATAGAAAATAAATCAGTATTTAATCAATATACCTTGAATTAGAACATGATGCTTTTAATCATGCATTTTTTTTTTCATTGTGGGTGTATCTAAAAATCTTTGCAGGAGGTCCCAATCTCATATCTGCAAGCCCTCCCCTTCTAACCCCACCCAGACTTTCCATGGCTAACCAATCACAGACTTCCCAATACAGCTCAATTAGAAGTATTTGAAAGACAGATGCTCTGGGCAATTGAGCTCCACTGAGCTAAACAACTAGGAAGTAACAGGACCGGTTATCTGATTGACAGCCAAGGTGGGTGTAACAAGGTTGATTTCCAAAAGCGCCAAATTTTTATTGAACTGCACTTTTTATAAAATGAAAAAAGGACACCCTCTTCACACAGAAGCACTTCAGCAAGCAAAAAGTTATTGAGGTGTTTAAAATATTCCTTGAAAATATTAAAATATGATGATAGTGTTACATTATGGACAAGGGTGACAATATTGGTTCCCAGCTGGAACACCACCTGGAGAAGAGTTGATATTTTTAAATAACCGGGCAATTTCTCCAAACACTCAGAAAAGACCTACAGGGAGTGCAGAATTATTAGGCAAATGAGTATTTTGACCACATCATCCTCTTTATGCATGTTGTCTTACTCCAAGCTGTATAGGCTCGAAAGCCTACTACCAATTAAACATATTAGGTGATGTGCATCTCTGTAATGAGAAGGGGTGTGGTCTAATGACATCAACACCCTATATCAGGTGTTCATAATTATTAGGCAACTTCCTTTCCTTTGGCAAAATGGGTCAAAAGAAGGACTTGACAGGCTCAGAAAAGTCAAAATAGTGAGATATCTTGCAGAGGGATGCAGCACTCTTAAAATTGCAAAGCTTCTGAAGCGTGATCATCGAACAATCAAGCGTTTCATTCAAAATAGTCAACAGGGTCGCAAGAAGCGTGTGGAAAAACCAAGGCGCCAAATAACTGCCCATGAACTGAGAAAAGTCAAGCGTGCAGCTGCCACGATGCCACTTGCCACCAGTTTGGCCATATTTCAGAGCTGCAACATCACTGGAGTGCCCAAAAGCACAAGGTGTGCAATACCCAGAGACATGGCCAAGGTAAGAAAGGCTGAAAGACGACCACCACTGAACAAGACACACAAGCTGAAATGTCAAGACTGGGCCAAGAAATATCTCAAGACTGATTTTTCTAAGGTTTTATAGACTGATGAAATGAGAGTGAGTCTTGATGGGCCAGATGGATGGGCCCGTGGCTGGATTGGTAAAGGGCAGAGAGCTCCAGTCCGACTCAGACGCCAGCAAGGTGGAGGTGGAGTACTGGTTTGGGCTGGTATCATCAAGATGAGCTTGTGGGGCCTTTTCGGGTTGAGGATGGAGTCAAGCTCAACTCCCAGTCCAACTGCCAGTTCCTGGAAGACACCTTCTTCAAGCAGTGGTACAGGAAGAAGTCTGCATCCTTCAAGAAAAACATGATTTTCATGCAGGACAATGCTCCATCACACGCGTCCAAGTACTCCACAGCGTGGCTGGCAAGAAAGGGTATAAAAGAAGAAAATCTAATGACATGGCCTCCTTGTTCACCTGATCTGAACCCCATTGAGAACCTGTGGTCCATCATCAAATGTGAGATTTACAAGGAGGGAAAACAGTACACCTCTCTGAACAGTGTCTGGGAGGCTGTGGTTGCTGCTGCACGCAATGTTGATGGTGAACAGATCAAAACACTGACAGAATCCATGGATGGCAGGCTTTTGAGTGTCCTTGCAAAGAAAGGTGGCTATATTGGTCACTGATTTGTTTTTGTTTTGTTTTTGAATGTCAGAAATGTATATTTGTGAATGTTGAGATGTTATATTGGTTTCACTGGTAATAATAAATAATTGAAATGGGTATATATTTGTTTTTTGTTAAGTTGCCTAATAATTATGCACAGTAATAGTCACCTGCACACACAGATATCCCCCTAACATAGCTATAACTAAAAACAAACTAAAAAACTACTTCCAAAAATATTCAGCTTTGATATTAATGAGTTTTTTGGGTTCATTGAGAACATGGTTGTTGTTCAATAATAAAATTAATCCTCAAAAATACAACTTGCCTAATAATTCTGCACTCCCTGTATTATAAGCATTTCTCTCAATGGGCAGCCAGTGACAGGCACCCACAGATGCACTAAAACTATCCTTGGCGCCCAAGCAAACGTATTCTGCACTGGAGCCAGCGCCGGAAGAGAAAACAGAGGGGCTGAGCAGAGCGGCACTGTCAAGAGAACTGTGGGAGCACACTGTTCCCTTGCGGCCCCTTACCCCACTGCAATGAAAGTGCTAAAAACCCTTTAGTTGAAGTCAGTGCATGGGGGAATCAAATGAGCATGCGCACATTAGGCCTTTCCCATAGGAAAGCATTAAATCAATGATTTCCAATGGGGACATGCAAGGCGCTGAATGTCCTCATGCATAGCATGAAGACATCCAGCTTCATTTTGCAGAGTTAAACTCTATGTAAATGCAGTATTTGCACTGTGTAAATGCAGGAAGACTTATCTCTAAAACTACAATGTTTTACACTTCAGGGTTAAGGGGACAGGGATATTACCTCTAGACAACTTCAATGACATGTAGTGGTGCCTATAGTGTCCCTTTAACTTTTTTGTTTTTCTTAAGTTCTAATAATGTATTTTTTCCATAATGCACATAGAACATATCGGTGAGCTCCACCATGGAAAGGGCCTTTTACTTTCAGTTGCATAAAGTTTATTACATTAAGAAAAATGAGGTGACAAGTGGGAGGCAAGCCAAAACCCAACCAGAAACCCAGACAGTGAGAATAAACAAAGCTCCCACACAGCTTATGCTGTAATGTGAGGTATGCTTAGCAAAACTATTTGAAGCTCGGCTTCCGAGTGCTGCTTCAGGCCACCAGCCACCAAAGATGAGGTAAGCAAACAGGAAACAGTCTCATACTATTTTATATAAAAGAGAGGTAGTGTGCCACTACATAGGAAGCAAAGTGACTTGTGAACTAGTGGTATGTTTAGGAAGTGGCTAGCAACTGGTAAAAGGGTGAGGACATGGAACATGGACAAGGGGGACAAACAACAGATACAGACAGTGACATCAGGAGGGATAGGGGAAAATATATAAACAGCAACCCAGCGGTAATTACACCTCGGCATTCAAACACTAACACATCACACAAATACATTTCTGCATTCACACACTGACCCTCCAAGCAAACACACACTTGCATTCATATAAACTAACCCATGATTCAAGAACAAACTTGCATTCAAACACACGCACACAAATACATCCTAGCATTCACAAAAATTCCCACTAACACACTTTGAATAATACAACAAAATCCAGTCCACAGTCCACAATCCACATCGGGTTACAATTTACAAAAGCTTCACCAAGGGCAAACATGATTTTTACCCACATTGTCCAACATATGAGCAGACTACGAGCAGGGTTAACAGTTTTACATGTGTAGTAAATATGGGCAGAGATGGAAAACAGACGGGCATGAGACAGAATGGAGGCTGGATGGATCATTTCATGGACAGAGAGAGAGAGAGATGCACAAATAAAGCAGGGTTGCAATCATTTTTGTGATTTTCCCCAACTGTGTCCATCAAATAGCCAAAAATTCCATGTGATAAATTCTAACCAGCACCTTCTGTACTAGAAAGACAAATGCCACGGAATTGAAGAAAGCCAACAATGACACATGACAACTAGTGGGTTAACAGAAGCTCCTCACCTGCCTCTCCCCTCTCACACTCTTCCTGTCCCCTTCTAATCCAGGAGCGCACTTAACATCAGCTCCCTGTCTGCTCCTCTTGTTTTAGGATTTACAGTCTGGGGAGCAGATTAAACCGAATCGCTTGATCACAAAATTAATCTGTTATCGCTGCATTACACCCCCTTCCTCCTCTCCCTTCTCTCTCTCGCTCTCTTTTTTTTTTTCCTTTGCTATAATAACATTTAACAGAATCCCACTGGCTGTCTCTGGCTCCTGTCCAGGGACCTGTCTCTGTGACGCAAGCAGAGACTACTTAAAGGGAGATTACAGGCAGTAAGACAGTGCAAGCAGCCCTTTCCCCGAGCAGGGACAACTCTGATCACCAAACAGATTACACTGAGCACAGGTCACCTCCACACGGTGGCTTCCCCAGGAGAAGGTGAATAGCCTCCCGCAGAATCAGGTCTTCGATGTACAGCGATGGGAGAATGGACTATCTTAGAAAGACTTCTGGAAGCAGCTGTGCAACAGCACAGTACTATGATAGGAAGGTAAGCAAGCTCCTAAACTCTGATACTTTGTAATGGGTAGATTTAGCAGCTTATCACACAATCTGGATACAGTCACTTAAGCCTGAACCCCACTTGCACTTAAGGTGGAATCTGGGCAGTTAGCTCCAGACAGTATCTAGAACGTGTCTAATTCATATGGATGAATGTAGTCTGGATACTATGATGGATATGTATGTGTGGTACTTGCTGTGTATTTTATTCTGAATAAATCCATAATATATTCATTCCATGATTATTAATGGCTTCACAGAACTTTTATACTATATAATAATTAAACAGCTGATGGCAAAAAAAAACAGCAAAACACATTTACTATTATTGGAAAAAGAAAATCTGGAGGAAATACCTAAGCTAACCCTGTGATACTACACAGCACTTCATAATAGATGCTAGCAATTTGCAAGGTTTATGGGAGAGCTGCCAGGATTGTGTCCCCCCTCCACACACAACCCCCACCACCATAAACAACAAGCAGAGCTCCTTGAGAACCGAGATTGATGACCCTCATTAGTATCAGGTGCATATACTGCACACATGTGCCTGGATACAATCTGCATCAGCAAAGCCTTTATGTGCAAAGTTTATTCGCTTTGCAGAATGGAAAGCTCAGATTCTTTCAGGAACAAATCCTAAGTGAATACATCTAAATGTGGATCCATGACTCAATGCTGTGCACACTGCTACTATAGGGGTCTATTTAAGTATATTATACTGTAATAGTCATTATAGTGACATATAATATAAATTAAATTACCCCCCTACCACCCTAAAAAAAAAAAGAAATACATGTTAGTGAAAATAAGAAAAATAAAATAAGAAAAAAAATAAACAGGACACTTGAGAACTACTGCCTGAAAAATGCACAAGAAAACCAGAAGTATGTTTTCGTCTAAATTCCTTTCACTACCTGAGAAAGCTGCAGTGACCTACAAATGATTAGGTTTACAGTTCAAGCCCTGTCTTCCCTGTCACACCTAATTATAATACACCTTCCACACCAGCACTGTGGTTCTGCCTGTGGTATGGAATTACCTTGCGTGCACAGGGAACATATGCAGAGAAGATTTCTGATGCTGTGCAGGAGGCAAAGCGTTCAGAGACACAAGCAAAGAATAGCTGTCAGTGTGGATCGCTTGCTGTCTGAGACAATGTACCAATTTCTACTCTCACTGTACATTGGGGAGGTAGGGGGCAAGAGCAGAAATATATCCACTGATGCGGTTATATCCTTTCTTTAAATTTAAAAAAAATAATTAAAAAGATATTACCGGTAATTTATTGTAGGCCAGGGGAGGGGGTCAATGTAAAACCAGAATATTTATGCTTAACAAAATTTTTGTTTCCAGTCATGTAGCCATTGCAAACATGATGGTTTCATAGTGTGTGACGATATGCCTCCTGTTCATGTTTCTGCACCATTAAATCAAAACCATGCAGTGCTTTTTCATGCCATATGGCACCTGCTTTAAAAAAAAAAAAAAGGGTCAAAAGTTACTGTAATTAAAACGCAAAACAAAACTGTAAACTCTGTAAGCATTTGTTTGTACTTGGCAACTATATTAAAAATATATACATTTTTCATGAAATATCGATACACAGATATTTCATGAAAAAAAGGAAAATGAAATCTCTCAATTATGCTGTATGTAATTCAGCCAGTGATCTGCTGGTTCAGAAGATGTGCTTTGCAAAATACAGGAGGCAAGGAGAGGTGAGTGCAGTCATTTATGCTGAATGAGACACGAGTTACCTATAATTCTTCGGGGAAAAAAAACATTACAGAGCAAATGAAGAAACAGTTCCACACCCTGGAACTGCAGAGCTGCTCTCTGGCTCGAAGACAGGATTACCACACCACCTAATAAGAAGTGTATGCATGTCTCGGGCTCTTAAGTGAAGAAAGAGGGCTCAGAGGAAATCAGGAAACAAATAAAACGGGACAAGACAACATTTAAGCATCCCGATTAATTAAATAGAAATGTAAGCACTGCTAACCGAGCTGGCAGTTAAATGGTTACTGTGTCAGAGACAAGGGTGGCATAAGGCTTTGCTCACGCTGGGACATTGCTCGTTGCCGTCAAGTAGAATAGATTTTTAACACACCCGAGCATCTACATTTGCGGTTCAGCCATCACTGACTGACCTAAGACCTAAAGGCAAAAAATTGTCTTGTAATTAAGTTACTTTTAATCAAGAGCATCTGATATTCTGAGTGTTTTGTCAGAACTGCAAATGCGTTCCTAGTCTTCATTGACTTATAACCCCCCTAACCCATACTGAGAATAAAGCAGTAATTAAATACTGAAAGAGTACAGCACTTTAATTGCACACTTGCTGCTTTTTGACAAGGGGGGGAGGGGGATAGGGCTGGATGTGAAGCTGACCAGAGGTTCCCTGCAGGAAAAATTTCAGCACTGGACAGCTCCTCAAATACATCAATGCAAAAGGACAACCTCGAAAGGATGTTTGAAAAAGAAAAAAATATCCCAGGGCCACTAATCTTAACACTATATATACACAAATATATATTCACTATATATATATATATATATATATATATATATATATATATATATATATATATATATATACACACACACACATATCTATATATATATATAAATATACACACACATGTATACATTTATATATAAGTGCGTGTGTATAAATATATTTATATATATATATATATACACACACACACATATCTATATATATATAAATATACACACACATGTATACATTTATATATAAGTGTGTGTGTGTATATATATATATATATACACATATACACACACACACACACATATACATACATACATACACACACCACAAACATAACAAAAGCTGTTAAAGCTAAGTTTTAATGTTGTATAAAGAAGTAAACTAGTGAGAACTAAAACACTAACCAAGCTGTGTGGTCAATTGCCTAATCTATCAGCATATATATATATATATATATATATATATCCCAGTGAAGGACCACTGCACAGTAAATTAGCACCACGTGTTACGCAAAAGGTCTCCATGTCTGATCTACCACAACTATTGGCAAAGTTACATACAGACACTTTCATTTCATGTTTTTTTTTTTTTGCTTAAAATAAATGTATGTTTTAATTTGTATATGTCACATTTTATAAATTATTAAATTTAGGACTTCTGGTTTCCAAAAAATTTAAGTAATATTGTGTAAAGTTCTGATGATTTCTATCCTAAACTAGCAAGAGGCCCAGACACACGTGCACATGCTTATACAGAGGCTTTGATATTTCCCTGCACATATTAGTCACAGTTTATTCCTGGTCATGTTTAGAAGAGTGTGCATCGAATGACAATTTGTTCCAACTTGGGTTACGATCAATAATCCCCTTACCTTTTTCTGCTGACAATCACACAATATTTTCATTACATTTTATGCAGAGCTGACATTTTTTTTACAGTACATCCTAAAGAATCTCTATGATATGAACATTCTATTTCAAGGCAAAAAAAAAGTATTTTTTAAATATACTAGGTGATAAGGAAGGACAGTATTATCCCAAGTGAATTAATAATATGAACAATTAGCAGATCTTAAACCCATGTGTTTTCCTTTCCATTCTACATGCCTAACACATGTCTTTCCTTTTAGGATTCTACTGACAGTGGTGGTAATCTTTAGGATTCTCATTGTGGCCATTGTAGGGGAGACTGTTTATGATGATGAGCAGACCATGTTCGTCTGCAACACTCTCCAGCCAGGATGCAACCAAGCGTGCTACGACAGGGCTTTCCCAATTTCTCACATAAGATACTGGGTGTTTCAAATTATTATGGTCTGCACACCAAGCCTCTGCTTCATTACCTATTCCGTCCACCAGTCTGCCAAGCAAAAAGAGAGAAGATACTCCACAGTCTTCCTCACTCTGGACAGGGAAGGAGACAACGTAAAACGGGAGGACAGCAAAAAGATTAAGAACACTCTGGTGAATGGAGTCCTGCAAAACACAGAAAACTCAACCAAAGAGGCTGAGCCTGACTGCTTAGAAATCAAAGAAATACCTAACCCTGCCATTAGAACCACCAAATCCAAAATGAGGCGCCAAGAAGGCATCTCAAGGTTCTATATCATCCAAGTAGTTTTCAGAAATGCCCTGGAAATTGGCTTTCTGGTGGGACAATATTTCTTGTATGGCTTCAATGTCTCTTCCATCTACGAGTGTGATAGGTATCCTTGTATCAAAGAGGTGGAATGCTATGTTTCCAGGCCAACAGAGAAGACTGTGTTTCTCGTTTTTATGTTTGCGGTTAGTGGCCTATGCGTTGTGCTGAATTTGGCAGAGTTGAACCACTTGGGATGGAGGAAAATCAAGACAGCTGTAAGGGGTGTACAAGCCAAAAGGAAATCCATCTACGAGATCAGAAATAAGGACTTACCCCGAATGGGTGTACCCAATTTTGGCAGGACTCAATCCAGTGACTCAGCCTATGTGTGAGGATATATAAAAATTGTAGCATCTGAGAATTGGGCCCTTGCAGCATGACGAGAGGGGGAGGGTGTCTGATTAATGGAATGCCCTTGGACGTGATTGCCATTGCATTGCAGGAATGAGCTGGCTGGCAAAGTTAATACCAATCAGTAGCAGCTGCCAGTAATTTAAATTGGCTGAAATTTCTGGCACCGGTAGCTATTATTAATAATGTTTGTGAATATTATATTTGATACAGGATACTTTTGTACAACATTACAACACTGACTACTTTCTTACAGAGCCTCCATCTCTCCGAGCCATCAATTTTGAAGTTACGTGATTGTAAACACACAACAAAGAGAGATCGGTGATTATATGGAGGGATTAACTCCTCCCTTGACTGTTGAATCAGACAAGTATGTAGCAACTCAGTATCAGAGACTACACTCAGACATGATGTTGGTATTTGTGTGCATTTTGGGGAAACTTGGTCTTAGGGTAGACTCAGGCCACACGTGCTGAAATAGGGGTTATACTGCCAATAAATATTTGCTTAAAAAAAAAAAGAAGAAAAAAAAGGTTCATAATAATAATAAAAGGGTATGCTAGGCTGAAGGAGTTTCTTCCTCCCCAAGCAGAAAATAAACTTAGCCTGGTTATTCCACAAGGCTGATTTACCCAAAGGCTCTAAGATAATTGCCTGCTTGGTAAAACAGCTTAACAAAATAATACTGCAAGTTACTTTTTGTAACATCAAGGAAAGAATCCCAGAATATTATGTCCCAGATTCTCAAATACCCCCATATTATAAGAACAACTGCACTAAAGTACACATCAATACTTCTAAACGCCAATCTGAGTATTAAACAGGAAAGGGATCCATCTGCATCCCACAAATACCGTAGGATTATAATAGTAAATAAGGCATAATAGCGACAGATAAACTATAGGCTCCTAATGCATGATTTTATTTTATACTTCTCTCTACATGTACTTTCATGTCTTAAAAGATGGAAAATCATTTCTTTTTTTTTCCCTTTGACAGAAGACTGATTTTACGCAAAGCATACGAGATTGGCGCAACCAGTGCAAAACTATACTTTTGAACATCCCTTTAACTCCACCTGCTGTTTAACCTCCCCGACAGTCGCTCATAAAAGCCAGCAGAAACCTTTATTGCACTGATGTAAAGAGATCCAATCAAGCCCTAATGGCAATTTGGTGGTCACTCTTCACTGACCTTGACATGCCTTGTTTAAAGTCTTCTGCTTCTTCCCTCCACATGACTTGTGCTGAGGCTTAACGATTTCTAGAGGCATTCTTCTTGTAGAAACCCTCACAGAATCAGCAAGAGAGACAAGAATATGTCAACATTCCTTGCAAAAGGAAACAGTGTGATGACCTACTTATCAAGCAATGGCCAAATCAGGATTTTTTAAAATTTATTTAACACTTTCTTTATGGTCAGTGTAATTTTGAATAAGAACATTAGAAAGGAAAATTTTCCTGTTAGCATGCTATCTGTTTTCTGCATGGCTGATGTATGCTGCGAATGCATTTAGCTTAATTAAATTTAGCCTGGTGATTAAATGCTGAGCTGTGCATTTGGAACGTCCCTAAAATCGTACAGTGCTACTGAAAACAAGAGTAGATCTGCAGGATATGCAGGGTAGCGGACAAGGGTTGCTTGATATAGACACTTGAAGCCATGGTTTTTACAAAGGGCTAGAGAAGGAGGCACAAGAGGCAGCTTTTAATGGACAAAGAGTTTAACGGATTGATATCAAACTACCGGCAGAGAATGCTGGTGTAAAGTGATAGGTTAGTGCGAGAATAGGAATTTTTTTTTTTTTAAAAGCTACTTCAAACATGTAGTCAGGGAAATGAAGACTGAATAACCTATTCATAAAAAGTCACAAATATCAGCATCCCCCATTTGATCATTCACTATTTACAATCCATATGAGTCCATAGGGTATAGGGTCTATAAACCAAACGTTCACTGTGCAGAAAGGGGGAAAAACCATGTACATGATGCTACCACCAAGTTGACCAAAATAAAATTCCGGGGTACTTTCTTTGGGAGAATACTTGGTGCTGTTTTTTAACACTCTGCTTCATAACTTTTCTAGTGGAATCACAGATAAAAAATTAATAATATAAAATATACTTTTGTCTCTGATTATGCATCGCACACATGCTTAATGTGACTGGTGCATCGTGACAAGGTTGTGAGCGACGCAGGGATTCATTGGGTACAGAGATTATGTATTACGAGCGTAGCAATAGCTTTGTGTTTCTACGTAAATAAGTATTTAAACTTGGATGGGACTCTAGACCCAGCAAGTGAGTTCACAGATTAAGAGCTACTATTCAGAATCGTAATCTAGAGATTCACCTTAGCTTCTCTCTGTCCAGAGGGAAAAAGCAAGACATTTAACTGCAATTCCTTGCCTGGTCCCATGGCATCACAGATAATAAGAGGGATTTGGTGGGTGATCTCTCTTTCAGGTCAATCTGTGGATACTCCACGTATGCTACTGAGAATATAATCGCTTGTATGTACCAGAGACCTTAATTTTTCAGTGCACCTTCACTAAAGATCACATCACCTGCTCCCAGCACCTGTACGGCTGCAGGGACATTGTGCATTGTTCTGTGATATACAGACAATGTTACAATGGATTCTTACATCTGGTATTGGAATCTTGATCTTGAATATGCGGTGGGCTGGACATGACCATATTATCCACCCCAAAGGCAGTCTAACCAGCCCAAGTGAAATGGGGGTAAAAATTTTAGCCAGCATGGCTTAAAAATGAACTGGTCATTATGTGCCTAATCTAAAAGTAAAATACAAAAAAAGGGGTGCTATCCTTCAACCCCCCATAAAATGTATTTGTCAACATTCTAAGTCTAAAAATCTGTGAAGTTCCAGTTATTATGGTACAATTCCTTTTTATTACAACATTGTTTAAACAGGAGGACTGTATATAAATGCAAATTTAGGGGTACTCTCAGGTTGCAAATATAATGCAGTTTTCCATCTTATTTCATGAGTTTCAGTGTTCGTTATAAATCATACATAAACAGGACTGTGTTGGTATTTTTTGGAGCTACGTCCTCTGAGAAAACGTAACTTTCTACTATTTTGTTTTTATTTCATTATGTGATCAGGCCGTGTGCAGTTAGGTACTGATTGCCAAATAGGTTTTGATACTATACGGATGCGTGTTTATTGCTGGGGAAAAAACAAAAGTACTGATACGAAGGAAGGGCATCTATATTAAGCTATCAAAAGGGATTTCATAGAAAAATGTAAAACAGACCACAGTACCGTTGTATGGTATTGTAAGAAAATAAATCATACAAAAACCCTGTATTACATAGATATGAAATATTTCATAAATAATTCATCAACCTGGTTTAGTTTGGCCCCGGGGGGAAAAAAAAAAAAAGGAAAAAATTGAAAAAATTTGGAGCATAAACTCATTAAATTAAATGCCCATCCAACAACTCAGAAAGAGAACAAATGTTCCTGTGCCCTTGAAAATACAAAATGTCTAACGTGTATATGTATGTGTATATGCAGTACAACTACAAAATAACTATCACAATGCTCTGTCATAAAGGAGCCTTTGCTACCCCAGGGCCATACAAGATCTTGTACAATGTATAAGGTCTAGTAACTGGGTTTATGACAAAACCTGTACAGTACTTCCTGGTTGATTAAGGAATTGCAGTGATACAGCAAGCAAATTAAATTAAGAAGTGATTAGTACTTTTTGTTTAATCTATTTTTTTTTTGCACATTTTAAAGTATTATTGTTACATTAAGTTAAACATTTTGCTCACCTCCAGCCTGGTGTGTCCCGTTAAATGTTGTACAAGTCATGGAACCACCCTGTAGAGAAGGTGTAACTACCATGAATACCTTTGCAAAATGCACTTTAAGCAATATTCCCCAAAGAGGTGTCATGGCCTATGTCCCTGATGTTCATACCACATTTAGCATTTCTTGGTATCGTTGGATAACTCGTTCAACGAAGCGTAAAAGGTTTATTCACTATATATTATATAGCAAACTGTAAGGGATTAAAACGGAGTTTCAAATTTTAGTCCTAAACCTGATTTGAAAACATAGCTGATTTGACGGATTTTGAAATTCATATTTAAATTCCTATCAATTAAAATTTTCCGAAGAACCCAGAAAGTGATAGATTCATTAGAAGATTTCACGGGCCAGAACGGTTAGTTGCAAAGTGTAAACCTTTGCAATAGTCAAGACTAACTCTAAAATCATACTATATAAAGAAAAAAAATATATATATATGCACATTTTATAAAAAGAGAGAGTCATGACACTGATAGAAGATCATATGAAATATATGTGCCTTACGGGAGCAAAACCACAGCCCCCAGGCATAACGAATGGAGTGCAATCCATTTTAACGAAGAAATGTATATTATACTTATGTTTAACTTAACAGAAGCACATCATATTAATGACACCCTGAATGTCAACTGTGTTGATAAACAAGGTGTCATTTAAAGCTAAATTAGTGTGTATCACTGTTTGTCTATTAAACATCTGAAACGATTCACATCAGTCAGGTTGAGATCGGAGGAACATGTTTCGGAGCGAGTGCAAAGATTCCTATAATGCTTACAGAATGATGCTCATGAATGACTGATCGCAACACAGAAAGGGAATCTACTGCCTGAGAAGCCATGCCACATGATGAATGAATGGTCAAAAATGTTCACCCGCCCCCCCCTTGTAGTTAATATGCCATGGAATACAGCTATATGGATGGAATGTTCTGGAGGTGTTGTAGGAAAATGTTTCAGTCCTGTGACAATTTGGACAGAAGTTTAGATGACATTTTTGCGGTTGATTAATTGCCTGTGCATGATTATGCGTGTATTGACCTACATAATCGATCCATACACAGGTCTATACGTGTCATTTGACACTATGTCAGGAGATGACATTTGTTGAATCCATACACAGCAGGCGCAGTTGGCAAAATTACCTTTAACCCTTTAAGTGCTAGAGGTGTGCCCAAAATATTACAACCTCAAAAGACCAAACCCTTCTACAGAGGACAAAAAAAAAGTCACCAGCAATCCTGCTGCATTCTCTGCCCTCCTTATTTAATCCCTTGACTGCTTATAAGGATGTGGTTTGTCTTCAGGCAGGCAAAGGGTTAAGTGCCATAGCTTACACCTCCAGCTCCATTCAGTCTCAGCATCACAGAACATTTTATACTCACCTTTGTATATTATATATATTTGTTTCATACAATAAAAAAAAGGAACAACTGTAATATTCAGCAGATAATAAAGTATTTGCCTTTTTGTAACATTATTTGGGCTTGCAGTACTTTCTTTCACAAGCACACGTAAACCGGCCTCGATTCGCTGGTCAAGAGTACAAACATTTTTCGGGTGAATTTTGGTGCCTTTTACGCCCATGTCTTGATTCAAGGTAAAAGCGCACTTGCCAAGTATGCGTAGAAAATACATTTGTAGCATACAATATCATCTGTACACTTTGCTAGCCAAATGGCAACTGCCCACGTGCTAGACATTGTAAGAACTAGTAGCCAGACTTTGTACGGCAGATATCCTTCTACACGTTGATCACTTAGTCACCTTTGACTACTTCCTCAACAAGGTATGCCTAGCATATACAAACACACACGCGTAAAAGAATGTAAAATAACATCACTAAGGTCCATTAGAAATATGTAAATCATGGTAGCAAGGTATATCTTGGCAGACTCACTGTACTACAAAGACAGCCAAGGAGGATTTAATACAGCCATGATACTCATTGTTCCGTGAACAGTGACATCATAAAACTACAGACAATACTGTTTCTACCAATACAAACTATGAGTGTGTTAGACATGCTATGCAATCAGCAATGACAAGGTGCCTCTTGGGTTTACCTATAAACCGAGACATCTCAAAAAAGTCATTGAGGCTTGTATAGCCAAAAGTAAAAACCTTAGCAGAGATATTCTTTTTTTAAATATTGTCATTTCCCTTATATAGTATGGAGAGTAAAGAAAACATTAGTTTTCTTCTCAGAACTTTGGATGAAAAAGTAGAGTTTATTACCCTTTAATAGAACAGTAACATTCTGAAAGGCACTTGATCCAGCAGTGATAACTGCAAGTAGAGTGGGAACATTTAAGAGTTGTTTGAATGCATTCCCAGCAGCGTAGGGCATTCATGGACACAGTTTATGTAATTAACAGATGTTGATCCTGGGATTAAGCTGACTGCTTGTGGAGACACAAAGCATTTTATATTCCTCTTGTTAGGGTGAAACCGCCAATAGCGCAAATGGGCCGTTTCTTAAAACTTTGTCTTTATTATAAACACTTAAAAGGCTGCACTAGATACAGTTATGTCTTTTTAGATCACTTACTGTACGACACAAACTAAGAAATGTTTTCAGTTCTGGAGGTTCTCCAACACATTACACAATCTTAGTGTACATAAGGGGCTGATACAGTATCACAAACAAATCTCTATAGATCTTGTCTTCTTTCACACTAGGGCTGGTAAATGTATAATTTTACAAGACAGGAGAGAGGTGCCGCATTAATACAACAAGGATTATCAAAGTCTCGGCATAGAGATACTAAAACAGAATCCTTCAAGAAAGTAGGATTATCGACCATTTAGAAACCCGAAGACCTCCCTAGCTGATTGTTATTAAATATATGTACTGAGTACCAAGACTAGTTAATTCCTTTTTTTTGTTGTTCATTATGAAACCATAGCCCAAAATGCATTCCCAAAAGACAAAATGATTCTATTTCAATTACCATCCATAGGCTTAGTGGTAGTTGTCTGCAATGAGATATCTAATTTCACTGTGACCTTGCGGAGTTGCCTCTGGTACCAGAAACGCAAGCAATAAACCGAGGGATAAGGCATTCTGCATCCTGTTTGTATTTCCCTGGGGAACGTAGCTTGGTGTTCTTATAATACTGGCTAGTAAACCATTTCACAAACGTCTTATACTCTTAGAATGCACACTCTACTGACTGTTTCAATATTGCTAATATACAGCTTTCTGTTTTAAATGTTTACCCTGTACAGATTTAATAACAAACACACAAAATTTTCCAACATTCTCATTTATTTAAAAAACAAACACACAAAATATATAAGCTATGATACCCTGTCAATATGTAGGAATTTAAGTTACAGGAATGCAAAACGACAATGTAAGCACACTGCAATAAATATAACATGGCTCACAATGACATCATTTACTAGGTAGGTAGGCTTAAAATATGTTCATCACCCAAAAAAAAATCAAAAAAATCCATGGTGTGTCTGTGGCTCTGTGAGTGTGAGTGAGATACTTCCAAATCACTACTATACAATAGAGACAATATTGCTGGGTCCCTAAATAGAGAGTGTAACCATAACATGATACACTATGATAAGTGGTCTCCTTTATCTAGTTATATCCAGTTGTACATTCAAATTACCCATAATTATATATTGTTTCACTTTGTGTGCTTTCACTTTCCTTCGTATTCTTGTATTTCTATGTACAAAGATCGTCTGTGTGTGAATGTATGGTTATGTTCAGGGCATGTCTCTGTGTGAATGCAGGGCTACGTACAAGGAATGTGTGTGTGTGAATGCAGGTCTATGTATGAGGTGTGTGAATGCATGGCTATATACAGTAAGTGTGTGAATGCAGGGCTTTTTACGAGGAGTGTCTCTGTGTGTGTAAATGCAGGACTATGTACGAGGAGTGTCTGTGTGTGTGTAAATGCAGGGCTATGTACGAGGAGTGTCTGTGTGTGTAAATGCAGGGCTATGTATGAGGAGTGTGTGTGTGTAAATGCAGGGCTATGTATGAGGAGTGTGTGTGTGTGCGCGTGTAAATGCAGAGTTACGTACGAGGATTGTGGGTGTAAGTGTGTAAATGCAGGGCTATGTACGAGGAGAGTGTGTGTGTGTGTGTGTGTGTGTGTGTGTAAACGCAGGGCTACGTATGAGGATTGTGTGTGTTAGTGTGTAAATGCAGGGCTACGTGCGAGGAGTGTGTGTGTGTAAATGCAGGGCTACGTACGAGGAGTGTTGTGTAAATTCAGGGCTACATACGAGGAGTGTGTGTAAATGCAGGGCTATGTGCGAGGAGTGTGTTAGTGTGTAAATGCAGGGCTATGTGTGAGGAGTGTGTTAGTGTGTAAATGCAGGGCT